AGGGACAGCAACCCGGCCCCCAGCTCAAAAAGGTTGCATACCCCTGATTTAAATTGTTGATGTTGTGTGTCTTCAAGTCACTTTTGACTTATGGTGACTCTAATGAAAACCTATTTCAGGGTTTTCTTTGCAAGATTTATACAGAGCAAGTTTGTTTTTCTCTGATGCTGAGAGAGTGTGACTTGTCCAAGGTCACCTAGTGGATTTCCATGGCTGAGCAGGGATTTGAACCCTGGTCTCTAGAGTCATAGTCCCATGCTCAAACTGCTACACCACACAGACTCGCTAACTACATTAAAATTGAATTTGAATATTCTATCTATGAACATTGCTGTCATTAATATTTATTAATATGTATACTTCTATTCTAAAATAGACTATTTAGACATAAAGAGCAAGTTTCGTTTAGGAATAAAATACTCCCAGTCCTTGGAGGTGTGTTGTATTCTTATTGTGTACCTTCAAGTTGTTTCCTATTTATGGCAACCCTAAGACAAACCTATCAGGGGCATTTCTTGGCAAGATTTGTTCAGAGTCAGTCTGGAGGTGTGTACTACATCCAAATCTGAGATTATTAATTAAAATCTAGACAAAATTATGTCTCCACATACAAGAAGGAAAAAAATGGCTTTCCATCCCCTCTGCTGGTACCGGTTGGTAAGAAGGAAGTCTTTGCAGATGCATAGTTCACTGGGATCTTTGATGATTATGTTAGGGGGACATCAAATAAAAGAAGCTCATCAAGAGGTGACACAAGGTGATCACAGCTACTTATCTCAGAAAGGGGTGATAAACTTGAACTTTTGATAGGTCACAGATTTCCCTCTTGTCTCAAATTGAGATTTTCCCCTCCCATTTCAATTCCAGTGCTGTTCTGGGGTGCCAGAGGGATTTAAAAATAAAACAAGGAAGCAAATTCTTTCCTCCTGGGTGGGGCAAAGTGGTAAAATTAATATATTACCAGAAGTATCAGTCACTGAAGACTATTCTATGGTGAAACGAACAATTCTGCTGTTTCCTTCTAACCTCAGTGTCTATAGTGCCACCTGCAACCAGCTATACTGTATGTATGTGGGTACATCTGTAATTCTGGATAATCATGCTAGATAATCCTCATGCATCAGATGAAGTAGTCAGGAGTCTATAAAATCTCAAGTTATATGGAATGTGTTGGTCTTTACAATGCTGCAGAACCATTTATTTTAGTTGCTACAGGCTAGCATCCCTTCTCCTTGGAAACTTTGTAAGTGCTGTCTAGGGAGGCTTACAGTAAATGAGAGGTTTAGAAAACAATAGATTCATCAGAAAAACTGCTTGCAAGAGGTCTGCGGGGACATGCACAGCTCTACTTCAGCATGCTCAGCCTGGCTTTGTAATTATGTGTTTTTCCCCTTCTGTGGCTTTCCATGCTAGAATGGAAGTTCTCTATTCAAATTCAAGTTACTGCTCAAAACAGCAGAATATGGAGGTATTTCCAAACAGGGTCATAGCCCTGTTTAGATACTGTTTGCAGCATTGGAGAAAGACAAACAGGAGCCCTAAGTGGTGTCATGTTTAAGATGCCTCATAACATTACCCCAAATGGATCTTTCCTAATGTATATACCTATATGAATGGAGACACACACATACACAGGTGCATGTGTCTGCACATGTTTAGAGGCTTCTCATTTGCAATGAACTTCATTTACATTTGAGGCCCTGAACTGCATTTATTTATGTTGTGAAGCAATCCAGCTTGGATTGTATAGCCACCTGCATCACACAGGATCCATTCATGGTCTGGACAAATGTATGGTCTGGATGAGCATGTGCACATACAACTGTACACATGGAGGGAGATGTTTAGGCAGCTTACATATTCCATATTCTTCCTATGCTGTTTGATAACTAGAAGGGTAAAGGGAAATGTAAAACCACTGACACTTTTTTCATTGCTAGGTCATAAGAAAAAGCTGCAACATGAACTGATTGGGTGCTTGCTCATCCTTTTATCCACAGATATGACTCTTGTTCAGATTTATAAAAATACAAGGAAGAGGGGAAAGAGAAACAATACATGATCACACATTCATTGTGATGTCTGAAAGAAACCCCTTTTGACAACTTTGCATACCAAAAATGCTTTTCTGTAAAATTGTGTGTGTGTGTGTGTGTCATGTGCTGATTTTTTTTTTTAAAGCAAATGAATTCATTGAATACTGAAACTTCACAAATATTTAAGTGATCTTCTTGTTGGCCACAAGGTGGTGTTGATACATTTGAAAAGCTTGTCAAAGAATTAGGGCAATGGTTACAGAAAATTGTCAGTATTCCACACTTTCACATCCAATAGCAGTCTGGAAACCCAAAGGTAAGGTGTTATAGAATATGTGTCATTGTGGTTTGAGTGCCAAACTAGGACCGGGGCCCGAATCTCTATTCTGCCATGGAAACCCACTGGGTGACCTGGCACAAATCATATTCTTTCAGTCCTCAGAGGAAGAAAATGGCAAATTCTCTGTAAAGAAACTTGGCTGAGAAAACCCCATAACAGATTTATCTGAGGGTCTCAAAAAATCAGAAATTACTTGAAGGCATACAACAACAGCAACAACAGATTGCTTGCTTGCACATATTGCAATCCCTTCTCAATACACAACTGCCAATTAGATTCTGCAGAGTTCAAAATGAAATAGGTCTATTATTTATTTCTTTATTCAATTTATATTTATTATGTGTACATTCCATTTTTCTTCTGGCACAGGACCCAAGGTGACTTACAGTATAGATTGAAATAAAGAACTGTATGAACGTCTAATAATAAAAAAAGTTTTAAAACCATTACAGAAGCAGTCATTACAATACTAATTTAAAATAGTTTAAAAGGCACTGCAAATGTGTTTTATTTTCTATGTGAATATTATTACAGTTCTTCTTCTCCTTACCTTATTACTCTCTATGGGCTGTATTCACAGGTTTCCATTTTCTAACAGAATTATTGGGATACCTGTGGAATAGAGTCTTTCTCCTCTCTCTGCAGCCCTCTGACAAATCAGCTTGAGAAAAATGAAAAGGTGAACTCTTTGTATCAGTAGAAGTCCACTAATATAACATTGTGTGTAGGCCTGAATTATTTACTCCAAATACGCTACAAAAATTCTATTTGCTTGCTGTGTAGAGGCATTGAGGTGTGGCACACTGAACTGAGACAAGACACAACAGACCCAAATATAGACCTGCCATACCTTGCTTCTGAAACACTGGTCAAAAACATACCACAGAAATAATCCAGTTCATTTTAACTGCCCTGGTTCAGTGCTAGAGAATCTGGGAACTGTAGTTTATTTTACCACAAGAACTCTCTGACAGAAAAGGTGAAATGTTACAAAACTACAGTTCCCTGAATTCCTTAGCACTGAGCCAGGACAGTTAAAGCAGTCTCATACTGGATTATTTCTGCAGTGTGTTTTGGACCACTGTAGCTCAGCACCTGCATCCTAGTGCAGTAGGTGTTTGAAGGCCCTCAGTGGACAGTTTGGCAAGATGGGAGGAGGGTTTTGATGCTCTGTCCACCTGCTTCCATATTGCTCATACAACTCTCCCTTTTCTCTGTCTCTTACCTCACCTAGGACGTTATCACACGGGGAGTCGTGGGGAGAAAGTGGAAATAAACCAGACGAGCGGAAGACTTTAATTTACGGGATTTGTCCTGTTCCGCCTCATCTGATAAATTCGAATTTAGTTATCAGATGAGGGGGAACGGGACAAATCCTGTAAATTAAAGTCTTCCGCTTGTCCGGTTTATTTCCACTTTCTCCCCGCGACTCCCCGTGTGATAACGTCCCTAGAGTACTGTGTCCAGTTGTGGGCACCACAGTTTGAGAAAGATATTAGCAAGTTGAAACAAGATCAAAAGAGAATTACCATGTTAATAAGCAATCTGGAGACCAAGCCCTGTGAAGAATAGTTGAGGGAGGTGGGTGTATTGGAAAAGAGATTTTCTGCAGGGAATACCAGTCATGGGCTTTCAAAATACAGTAATATTTTCTTCCTGAATCCATGTCACATGATGATTGAACACCATGCTCTTTTCATAGTATTCTTGTGTGACCTTGAATCGTGCCATTTTGTACCCTTGCCAATGTCTAGGCTTGAATGAAATCTTTTTGAATGGAATTTTCTTGTTGGCAAAGTCTGAATTTCTGGTTGCCCTAGATGACTAGCAGTAGAGAAGACATCTCCCTGGTTGCTCCATTTATCCAACTAAACCAGGGGTCGGCAAGTTCCCCTTATCTGGGGCCGGTCCGAGGATCCCCAGGTCTTCCACAGGCCAACGATGTGTGTGGGGGGAATGGTGGTACGTGTGCTCATTTGGAAAACAAAATGGTGGCCGCAACACAGTTGGCGGCGACAGGGGTCGGGGGGAGAGGTTAGCAGGCCTTGGCGGGCCGGGTGCGGCCCGCAGGCCGTAGGTTGCCAACCCCTGAACTAAACAGCTGGGAAGCAGCAGCCATCACTGCCATTTCCATGCTTTATCAACATTATGCACATATATGATGTTAACATTTGGTATCTCATGTATATAATTTGATGCTTTTTCTTTCTTCAGCTCTGTCAGAAAAGAGAAAGGTTCATCCTTATAAGCTTCCTTTTCTGGTATAAAACCTGCTACCTCCCTTGCATTCTCATTGCTCCAAAACAGCAAAGTATGGACTGCCCAGGCAGACCTGAGATCCTCTGGGTCCAAAAAACTCCCATTTACGCAACATGCCCCCCCCCTGAATATGTATGTATTGGGGGGGCAACGGGGTGAGAAATTGCCAGCCTAGGTGGTACTCCCCCTCCCCAACTGCCAGTCCTCCTCTCTTTCTTTTGTCTTGTTAGTGCAATCCTGGAAGGGCTTGGGATTTTATGGGTGTTTTGCTGGAAAATGCAATGACTCATTACAGAAATGCAGTCCCAATCAGCAATTGAGTAATAACTGCAAGAAAGCTTTTAGCATAGCATCTGAAAAAGCAAATATAGTTTAGCACCAACATATCATTAAACAAGTACCCATGCTGCACAACTGGTGCTCCACAAACGTGTTGGATTGCAGCTCTATTCTTTCTCAGCCAACATTACCGTGGCTAAAAGATATTTCTAATGAGTCATGCCTTCCCATGATGTGGCCTGTGTATGACAGCCTCAGTTTTGTCAGCTTGGTTTCCAGAGAGATTTCAGGCTTGATCTGTTCTAAGACCCATTTGTTTGTCTTTTTAGCTATCCATAGTATACTTAGTACTCTTCTCCAGCATCACA